CCTGAAAGATGAGGACTCTAAATCACAAGAAACTCTCACCATTAGTGAGGACCCCAAACTTAAATCTGTAACAATCTTACCCATATTTACAGTGCTTTTCCTGGCAACTTCCCTTAACTGGCCTCCCTACCCCAACTTTTGTTTTTTGCCTTAAGCTGAAATAGCATTTAAGGTAAGTGGTTTGGGCCACTTGGAAGAGTTACTCAATTTTCCTGAGTATCTTCCATGTATACAGAAGGTACAAGCATGTCATAAAACTTCTTTTTCTTTTGTTATTGTGTCTTTGATTACACAGGTCTCAACCAAGAGCTAAGAAGGTTAGAGGGAAAAATTATTTTTCTACCCTATAGGAGACAAAGATATATATGTTATCTCCATACTGACTGCATAAAACCCTTGAATTTATCACACATAAGTTGTTGCTCTGATTTATGGTTTCAATTTGTAAGCCTCAATCTAAGGTCATAAAATATGCCAATCATTAAAAAAATTCCATTAACAGTCTACAAATATGTATGCATACATAGGCCTTCATTTGTCAATTCAAAGAATCTTATGGTTTTCTTAACACAAATTAGCTCTCTGAATACCTCATTTGAAAAATATTAGTTGTTTACTTAGCATCAGTTGCAAAGAGCTCAAGGCATTGCAAAAACAAATATCAAAATGAAAAATCTTATGTATAAAGAAAAATATCTACTTTAATTCTATAGTTTGGCCAAACACTAAACTTCATTTTGGTTTAGAGTGAGGCTTATAAAATCAGTTTCAACACCTAAGTTACAAAAATTCGTATCTAGCAAAACAGTTTTACCAGGTACACTAAATAACAGCAGTCAAATTTCTTTAGTCTTTTCTTCCTTTACTCCTCACCTGAGGATATGTTTATTGATTTTTACAGAGAAATGGAGAGAGAAGGGAGAGAAAGAGAAACCAATGTCAGGAAGAAACAGCAATCAGTTCCCTCCCATGTGCCTGACCCAGATGAAACCCACAATCTAGGCATGTTCCCTGACCAGAAATTGAACCTGTAACCTCTTGGAGTTTGGGACAACACTCCAACCAACTAGCCACCTGGTCAGGGCTCCTTAGTCATTTTATGTGACTATGCAGACTTATTTAATTTTAAAAAGGATAGTTCTGAATTATGTTCTCAGATGTGAAAACATTTTTGATAATCTTAATCTTTATGACTAATATTGTATATCAAAGTTTTACAGTAACATTCCTATGTAGTGCCTACACAAGACCTTGTTGAGTAATAAGTAAACAATAAAAGCATGTTTTTTTTAACTCAACTTTCCTAACAATAATACACCCTTTTAACGTACAAAATTAAAGGCTTAATTTCTAAATAACAAAGCATGACATTATTTCTATGGTGACTTGAACTCAAACAACTACCTTGTTAACCGGAAAGGACCATATGTTTAAATGTCAACAAACAGAACATATATATATAATGCAAAATTATCTTAAAAATCACCATTCAAGTATATAGTATAAAAAAAAAAACCTTCTGAAACTGAGTTTTCTCCATGCAAGGATTCATAGTTAAAAATTCATGCTTTAATATATTTTAAAATACTTCCATTACCCAAAATCATTTAAACACCCAACTATTCTAAAACTAACCCCAGGGCAGGCTCAGTTAATTGGAGTGTCCTCATGAAGACCAAAATGGTAGCGATTCAGTTCCTGGTCAGGGCACATGCCCAGGTTGCAGGTTCAGTCTCTGGTTGGGGAACATTCAGGAGGCAAAGGAAGGCAACTGATGGATATATTTATCTCACATCAGTGTTTCTCCCCCACCCTTTTCCCCCCTTCTATTCTCTAAATATCCTTGGGTTAGGAATAACAACAAAATTGATAAAGGAACTTCTAAATAAACAACAGTAACGGGCATTTAGCAATAGTTCCTTAAAACAGATTTCCCAGGTCTCTAAGCATTAAAGGAATGTTAATAATGATATTCTATTTGTTTTCTCTTCTTTTAATAAATTTTATTTATTGATTTGAGGAAGGGAGGGAGGGAGAAAAGGAGGGGGGGAGAGAGAGAGAGAGAGAGAGAGAGAAACACGAACCCTAGCCATGTAGCTCAGTTTGTTAGAGCATAGCAAAGGTTGCAGTTCGATCCTGCATCAGGACATGTGCAAGAAGCAACCAATAAATGCATAAATGGGTGAACAAATTGATGTTTCTCTTCTTCTCTCTCTAAAAGTCAGTAAATAGAAATTTAGAATACATGTATTTTTGAAAAAGAGAGAAACACTGATTTTGTTTATGTTAGGATAAAGAGTACAGTTAAAATAGAATATCATTGTGCCCTGGCCCAGTAGCTCAATTGGTTAAAGCACCATCCAGACAGGAACCAAGGTTGCAGGTTGATCCTAGGTCAGGGTACAAAGAAGAATCAACCATAAATGCATAAAAAAGTAGAATAGGTCAGTGTTTCTCTCTCTCCCCCTTAATCCCTTCCTCCCTGCCCCCTTCCTCTCTCCCTAAAATCAATTTAAAAAACACACACATACTGAATCATTCCATTTATATAAAATTCTAGAAATGTAATTTATAGTTTACATAAACAATAACAAGATCAATGAATATTAGTGGTGTGGAAGAATAAGGAAGGAAAGTAACAAGGGACTTGCAAGGGGACAGGAGGACACTTTTGGAGGGAATGAATACGTACATTATAATGATTGTTGTGGTGCGTTCATGGATATGCACATATGCCAAAACTTTTGGAGTTACAGGTGTTAAATATGTGCAGTTTTATTTTACACCAACTTTAATTCAGTAAAGCTGGGGGCAGGGACAGACTGGGAAGCAGAAGAGCAGAGACCCATGAAGTTTCTAGCACACACCCCAGAATATTTTATTGCACTTTAATATTAAAGTTAATTAGTCTTGACCTAGGCAGGTAGGAATTCACAAATGTCTCAAAGCTACATGAAGTTAATTTTTATTTCCATTTCACGTAAAATATTTATAGTTTATTAAGCAAAACATTACTCTGATTTTATGAATTCTTACAAATATGTAGTTCAGACCTGCTCATATTTAAAATGATGCTGTAATTAAAGTTGAGAAAGGCATACACCCCACCCCTTCACAATTCACTGAAAAACTTCAGGACCTTACAATTTAAACCCAGTAAGTGCACAGTATCTGAAGAGTACATTCCAAATTGTTATCTAATGTTAAGCACCATCCACTGACAATTTTCCTGAAAATCTCATTTGGATTTTTAAATTTCTCAAAAAAGTATTTTCACATATTACCCATAAAAACATCAAACATCATCACATCACTTTCATTTCTTCATTTTCATAACCCAAGTAATTGATTTGTCCATTCTTTTTCAAATGCTATCATTACAAACAACTTCTCCAACTCAAGTTATAAATGCTGAAGTTACTACAATATAAAATAACTGTTCAAAAAAATTAATGTATTGGAGTGACTCAACTCTACTGGAGTTGGTTGGGTGTCATTCCAGGCACCAAAAGGTTGCCAGTTGGGTTGCTAGTTTGATTCCTGGTGAGGGCACATGTCTGGGTTGCTGGAGGCAGCCAACTGATGGGTTATTGCATAGATGTTTCTCTCTCTCCCTCCCTCCCCCTTCCTCTCTCTCTAAAAAAAATCAATGAAAATAACAACAAAATAAGACAATTGCCATTGCTTAAACCACATCAGAGCTCATCAGTAGTCTTACAGTGATATTTTTAATGGATCAATTGTTACCTACAGCATTAAAGTTTTATGAAGTGGACTGGACTTACAAAAAAGAATGATTACACTTCAGTTTCTCGCCATTATTTGCCATCAAAACAAATAAACATAAAAGATTATTTGTGAAAGAAACTTATGTCTAATAATACAAATAAGAATTCTAGGCAAGAAAATCTTATAAATAAAAATTCAGTAATTCCTTTTCAATTGAAGCATTAACTATGTCAAACCTGTAGTTAGTGATTTTATACAGGGGAAAAATAGCTAGTGGAAGCAAATTTATTGCACACAGATGAACTGTCATGACAATGCAGATATTTTTGCCAGACTTTACTGAGAAGATAAAAATATATGTATAAATGTATATGACAGAGCGATTGAGATTCCAATAGTCTCTGTACAACAGTTTAAGTGAGAGTAAATGTGCTATGTAAATTGATGAGCACAATTTAGATATGTGAATACTGGTCAGAAGCTTGCAAAGGTATCAGAATACTGCTTATAAATAATAGCGGTCAACCTTTATCAAAATATACCTGCCAAAGGCAAGGTCTACTCATCTATACTACTTTCCTGTTTATATTTCCTCCCTCCTGTAAAGCTATCCCTTCATTTCTCCTCCCACTCTTTCCCGCCATCTTGGCCGACAGGGGCAGCCATTAAGTAAATGACAGTGCCAAGAAGTTTTCACACTAATAAACAGAGAATCCTGCCCTGGTGTCCATCAGACACAAGAAACAAGGCACAGGAAAAAAAAAAAATCCTACTCCAAGCAATATTTCTGTGGCAGCTAGACCCAAACAAATAAACAAATCAGGTAACTTCAGGTCAAACACGTACTGATTAAGATACCGGCCAAAAACCTAAGTCTTTACAGCTGAAAGTTCCTGTACCTTAACCCATCTGAGAAAAGAAAGCCTAAAACGTGTAGTTAAAATTAGACATCCCAGCCCAGGGCCAAAGGAAAAAACCAGAGGACATATAAGTCGACATTTTGAAAATAGCATACATTCTCAATCTTGTAATCCTAAAATTCAGAGATTTCCTAGCTAAAATAAATGTTGAGTCCTGCCTCAAAGCGCCGCCATCTGTGCTCAACCTACAAGAATTTCAGAAGACAGCGAACGAGGTATTCAGAGTGAGGTAAGGCCAAAAACATTGTTTTTCCTTTGCAGCCGCAACGACCGACAACCGGCCTTGGGGGCCGCAGGAACCCAAGCAGGAGCTGGCAGACAAGGGAGTGTCGGCCCACGCGGTTGCCTTACCTTGCCCAATAGAGTCTTCGTACTGGCGCCATCTTCGTGAAGCCTCACGAATCCAAAGAGCCGGCTGTGGAAAGAGATACAGGAAGTTCGTTAACGTTCTGTAAAAACCAGCGGACCTGTTCCTTCTCGAACCCAAGTCTAAGGTATCCTGACACTCGGAAAGCTCCGAGATCTGCCCCCCCCCACCCCACCTCCGCGTTGCCTCCAGAGGCAAGCTGCACTGAGACCTCCCCGGAAAGCAAACCTAACCTGTCTAGAGCTGTGTAAGGAAATGATGGTGGCCCATACCTGTCCAATCCGCCGAGCACCTCCTTCTCTTCGGCTGTCAAGCTTAACGACCCCTCCTTGCTCTCGCCGCTCGCTTTTCCCGCCGCCATTTTCTTTACCTCATCACAGAAAGAAGAGGTGGTAGTAACAAGCGACACTCCGCAGGATTTCATGGAAAAGTAAGAAATTTAAAACTCTAACTCCGAAACTCACCAACCCTCAGGACAGCGCTCAAAAGGCGCCCTCGCTGCGTGAGACTGGCACACAAACTTTAACGCTGCCACAATCTCCACTGCGGAAGGCGGCTAAAAAAACCCCAAGGTGATGGCGAAAGCAGCAGATGCACTGGCTACAGTCCTTGGCTGTCGTATCACATCTCAGGACAGGTCGGGACACCAGAAAAGGCGGGAGCTTGCAGTGCTGGGAGGATTTCGTAGAATCACAAACTTCTCCACCACTAGCGCAAACTTGTAATTGTGTCACAGAGCGAACCCCAAGTTCCCGTGATGCCTTCCCCCTTCCAAGCCAGGCGCTGCCAATTGACGAGACCGCTTTGTCTCACGTGACCTTTGTTGACTCACGTCAGCTGTCGCGCAACTAAACTTGCTAGCTGCCAGACCCTGTCCCCGCAGTCCACATCGGAGCCTGGAACACAGAAACGGCAACTGCGATGGTAATTGGCTGTCAAATACGTCTGTCTGTGAAATGGTACTTTATATTTTGAAGGAGCGAAGTCGTTTTTTCCTATTAAGTAAACTTCTCTAAAGAATGTATCCCAAGCTCTCTAACCGGGTAGGTGAGATGTACCAGGAAAGGAGCGGTGGGGAGCGGCGGTCCTTCCAGTATCAGGAAGATGCTGGAGAGGACGCAAGTGCAGTGTAGAACGCGTGGATTCCCTTATATGCTCTGCACCATAGGTATTATGTGGTTGCAGGAGGCTCAGGACCTGGCCTGGGTCCAGTTATTAATCAGTAGTGCATGGTACTGAACCTGCACTGTTGGAACACTCCGTATTTTTACCACCTCTATAAGTAATGGCCTCTTGGCCAACTGTTTCGTTGTGCTCTGCCCTCTTCTCAATCACCGAAACAGAAGAGATAAAGTCCTTGAAACCTTATCTCATGTCCTCCCTAAAGTTTGGGTGACCTACTACAATTCTCTTAACGCCGATTTTTAAAAAACTTTACTTTCAAACTTTATTCCCAGGCCTCTTCAGCTTAATTAGCTATTAAGAATGATTTGTGTATAAGCAAAAACTGAAGAAAACTGCAGTGTCCAAGGGACTTCGGCTTAAAAATATTAGAGATCTATTCCATGCATGCATGAAACACATTGGCAGATCTCAGAGGGAACAGGGGTGGGAAGAGATTAACCAAAGAACAAGAACATAACTACATATATGGATAACCCATGGACATAGACAATACTGTGGTGAAGGCCTGGACTGGGCTGGAGGCTGGGTAGAGGGAGACAAAGGGGTGGGGAAAGTGGGGAACATCTGTAATACTCTCAACAATAAAAATTAATTTAAAATAATATATATTAGGCCCTGGCTGGTGTCGCTCAAGTTGGTTGGTTGTCGTCCTGTCCACCAACTGGTTTCCTGGTAAGGGCACATGTCCATGTTGCAGCCTGATCCCTAGTATGGAACATGCAGGAGGCAGCCAGTCACTGTTCTCTTGCACATGGATGTTTCTCTCTCCCTTCCACTCTCTTTAAAATAAATAAATAAAAAGTCCCTAAGATTAGAAGCTCCAACATGTCTACTTCATGAAATATTTTAACACACATCTGAATATGTAAATTGTTCACTACAAAAGGTATCAGAAACTAACCGAACAATAATAATATAGCATGCAATACTGGACGTGCAGGTTCAGGTAATGCTCAGCCATCTCCAACACTCCTGTCATCTTGTCTGCATACTAATTTCATTTTCTAAAATCAAAGTGCCAACAGAGAATCAAAAGTTGTATAATAAATTACAGAAAATTACCACTAATCAAGGCACCATGAGTCAATTTTTTTCACGACGTTAACTTTAAATCACCATGTATTCAAAAAGCAGAAACTCTTACTTAAATAGTCATGGGAATGTAAAGTACAGCGTAGGGAATATAGTCAATAATATTGTAATAACTGTGTATGGTGTCAGATGGGGAAACCACTTTGTGAAGTATTTGTATGACCACTGTGATGTATACCTGAAACTAATACAAAAATAAAATTTAGAAATAAAGTCAGCCCTGGCCAGTGGGGCTCGGTTTGTGGTCATCCTATGCTTGGAAAGGCAGCTCGATTCCTGGTCAGGGTACATGCCCATGTTGTGGGAGCACGCAGGAAGCACCCAATAGATGTTTCTTTTTCATATCGATGTTTCTCTCTCTCCCCTCCTTCCTCTCTAAATATCAATAATAAATAATTTTTTAAAAACCCTCAGGTGAGGGTATTTTTTCCATTGCTTTTCAGAGAGTGGAAGGGAGAGACAGAGAGAAGCATTGATGTTAGAGAGAGAGACATCAGTTCGTTGCCTCCTACACGGGCATCCATCCGGGGGCAAGGATCAAACCTGCAACTCAAGTATGTGCTCTTGACGGGGAATCGAACCCTTAACCCTTCAGTGCACAGGCCAATGCTCTAACCACTTAGCACACCAGCCAGGGCAGAATAGGTATCATATCAAAATTAACTTTAATGCATTTGATTCCCACTTTTTACAAGAGATAAGCAAAAATATAGCTTATATAGTTAGCAGTTAATACATAGTGGGGGGGGAGCATGGGAGGTCCTTTTTGTTTGAAAATCATTTCTTGTGCTATACTAAGGTTCAAAGCGTCAGTGCTTGACTACAGACCCTGCTTTTAGATGGAAATACGGAGACAACACAAAAACCAAAAACAACTCTTGATTCTAGTCTTAGGCAAGGTCTTCTTTCCTGAGCTCCACAAGAGCCTTTAATTAGACTCAGAATGTATTATGTGTCAACATAGTCCTCTAAGATTTTAAAGTAGTATTTGCCATGTATGGTTAGCAACTTGAAGAATGGTGAAGTGGACCCTAAATCAGTACTGAAGTCACGTGTTGGTTCAGTTGTACCCTAGAATACATTTTCTATAAATTACAACCCAGGCTTAAGATACCTGTTATTAGATTTATGCTAATTCTAATTAGCATTAGTTTTCTGAAGAAAAAGAAATCAGGTTGATGAAATTCCTAAGTCAATCCATCTTTTTCACCCTTACTTTTGGATGGCTATTGTTCATCCTTTAGGAAAAACAAGATAGGTTATTAGTAAAATTGGTAAATTACTAAAAACGTGAATATAGGGCCTTTTAAATGGTCACTTGAAAGTTTTATTAGTAATTTCTTCAAGTCTCTTTTTTCTTTTCACATAGCATTGAAAGTATTGAGAACTGCAGTTTGCTCCTGTAGTTGTTTTTATTGCTGCATCTCCTATTACCTCAAGATTAAATGAGGTTAAGATTTATCTTTATCCAAATAAGCACATCCTGTTGTTAAGATTCATGTTTGCTGTGCACATAGGGCAGAGCTCATTCCCATTAAAACAACTAAATTGTGATTTGTTGTGAGGATTAGATTTTCCAGAAATTGAGGTCTTCACAAAATACTAGGATTAAGCAACATAGGAAGTATTATGGTAAAAGAAATGTGTAAAAGGGTTATTTAGTGAATAGTCTGTGGCCTTATTCATGAAATCTGGAAGGTTAACACCCCTAGTCTTCCAGGCCAGAAGTGAGCTAGCAGTCTTGGGGCTCATGATTTCTGGCCTGAGACATGCACTGAGAAAGCAGCAATCCAGTTTCAGCTCTAGCCAGGAGGTAGAATTAGGTGAGGAAGCAGTATAGTAGAGGAGAAGGGCAAAGACTGTTTCAATGAGTACTTTGCCTAAAGAGAGCTTGCCATGGCTACCCAGATTTTCCTAAACAGTTCCTGAAGTGGATACAAATATTCATATTATATGCCCCTGGAGACAGGAAGTGTGTGTGTGTGGAGTGTAAAAAGGGATGATAGGGGATTCAACTCAAGTAGCAGTTGCCACAGATATTAATGCCTGAAAGGTTTTGCTACACTGTCTTATACCAGGCCCACTTTTGCTGGGCTTTCTCTATTGCTGGCTAGGTAAGAAATGTAGTCACTATAAGTCTTGTCTATCACAAAGGTGTACATTCTATAGAAGGTGGAGACTCCTAAACAAAGTTGTAATGAGGACCATTACTTTTGGAGATGGTATAAACCAGTAGGATACTTTTCATTCAGTTCAGCAAACATATAAAACTGGTATAACTTACTCAAAGACATGTATATAGACATGTATATTTTGAATTCACAGGGCTTAATAGATAGGTCCTCACCCAAGTCCTCTTTGCATTACTTTTCAGAAAGTGGGAGAAAAAAACATTGATGTGAGAGTCACACATCAATTGGTTGCCTCCTGCATGCTCCCCAACCAGGGGCAGGGATTGGGCCTGCAACCCAGATAGGGGTGCCATTGACCAGGAATCGAACCCAAAACTCTTCAGTGCATGGGCCAGTGCTCTAACCACTGAACCACAATAAGTCAGGGCACACACGTTTTAAATCTATCTTAAGAGAGAATACTGTTCAATGTATGTCAGTTTAGGCAATTGCTATACACTGAATTATTCCAAAAGATTTATCTATTAAGCCCTGTAAATTCAAAATAAAGCTAGCTAGACAATTTGAGTTTAGAATAAAAACTACTTCATTTTATGTGTTCAATAATTGTCTTGGAGTCCATTTTATTCTAGTTTTATAATACTCCTTTAGATTTTATTATTTATTGGATAATTCCTTCAACTGTCAGAAGAGCAGTTAGTATCAGCAGGCAGGACAACAAACTGATGTTCAACAGCACTACTTGCATCACATCTAACTTCCAGAAAGCACTGTATTCCCCAAAGCTACAGCAGCACTGCATGTGTTACAGGACTGGCTGGCTGTGGTTTCTACTCCCTTTTATGTTTTATCTTGACAAGAAATAATCTTTTCATGGTGATTTAGAAATATTATCCAGTCATTTCTCCTTCCATGAAGTAACGTTCCTTCAATATACAAGGTGGGGCAAAAATAGTTCTATAGTTGTATATAACAACATAGGTCTATTGTGGTATATAATAACAATACAATAAACTGTTTTCCATGTTCACAATTGTAAATCTACTTTTGCTGCACCCTGTAGATTAGGGATAGGATTCACCTATTCTTTGCAGGGGTTAAGTAGGTTTTTCCACTCACTTGTGGCTGAAGATATTTACATAACCACCTTGAAAGATAACATGCTTTTATTTATTTTGTGCCTGGACAGCTTATGCAGATTTTCTTCTAAACTGAACAGCTCCCCACCCCTTCTACTTATTAAATGATGTAAACTTTTTGTGATTTGTCATGTGACAAAATGACTCTAGGATTTATAAACAAGTTATTGAATGAACTTCTGTTTACC